TGCTAAAATGGGTCCCCCCCCCCCCCACCAACCAAAAAAAATAGTGTACATCAAGTCATGTTGTATAAATATTTTTTATGTATTTTTTGGGGTATATTTCAATAAAATGCAAATTTAACCCCAAACGTGTTCAGTGTAAATTTATTTCAATCCAAATGCCAAATTCACTACCGTGGTCATGGCAAGCAGACATTATTGTGATATTTGAAAAGAATTTAAAAAAATATGATGAAGAAAGCGGTAGCCATGTACCTTTGCATATTATCCCAGGCCCTTTGTGACCTTGCGAACAAAGGTATATACCTGTAGGATGTAGAAAGGGTCTATAAATAGTTCCCCCTAGGGCCTAGAGACAAGAATTGACGGCGCGCAGGACTGATTCCTGCATGCTACGGCAATCATGCCATTGCCAACAAAATGTGGGTCGAATTTCTGCGCATTGGGGAAACAGGTGTCTTCTCAAAAGCTTGTATTTATGCAATGCCGCCGGTGTCGAAAGAGATTGGGCCTTCTATATATGAAATCTAGTCTCTCTTGCCTTATATGGACCTTAATAACCTGAAACTTTTCTAAGCACTCAGAGATCGCAAACTTCCACCAAGGCTAAACAATTTCCCGCCATATTGTCAGTACAGAAATACTTGCATTTGACCCATAAACGCAAACGCCACGTTCCAGCCTCGCGTAAAAACACTTGAAAACGTACAATATGTATATACGCTCTATGGTACCAGCACAACTTTTGATTTTCGGAGGACACGCTCGGTAGGCTGGTACTTTGAGTCGTGTACGCGTGAATTGGTAGGAGCTTTCCGATACGGGTACCCGTAAATTCGCGTGCGGATATATTTCGAGTGTTTTATGCGACCGTGGAACGTGGCGTTGTTATTGACGCCACGTTTACGGTTCTATGCGCAGAAATGGTTAAGAATCCTTTAAAAAAATCCCGGATCCAGGCCCAGATCCGGATTACTTCCAAACTCTGATCGATTTGTACTTGTATCAAGGTCCACCCCTATTTTTTTATGCAAATCCGTCCCTAACTGTTTGAGTTATCTTGTTAACAGACAAAAAAACAACCAACCAACCAACAAAAGAACAAAAAAACAAACGAACAAACACCCCAACAAACAAACATACGCCGATGAAAGCATAACCTCCTTGGCCAAGGTAATTACAAATGTAGTTTAATGAGGCATGCGCAACACAATCATTGAGACCTTGTGAGAGTCCTTCGTGCAGTTAGCGTTCTTTCGTTTTGGACGGTTAGTCATGACGGTTCGTCATGACAGCTCGTCATGACGGTCGTCCTGTCCAATCATATTCCTCGCTGAAACGAAGGGGCGTGATCAATAAAATTTTGTCAATCAACTGGCTCCTCTGTATGGTAACCTTTGTCATTCGTAATAAAGACTTTAGAATGCAACAACAATGCAACAACAATGGAAATTGAAATCGAATGCAACAACAATGGAAATTGAAAGCCAGCCCATGCAGTTGCTCACTTTTAATGAGATTAGTGCGGGAGTTTCAAAAGGGGTACGAGGCCATAGGCCCTACATTTATTTACCACCGCATTGTTTAAAATTCTTAAAGAAAAGGAGCAGGAAGAAACCTCTTTCATGCAGGGACTGTCTTAGGGCGCCGATGAACTCGTACAAAAACATGATGGATTACAGGGTTCATTTGTTTATTGCAAGAATAAATTGGCAAACTTTCATCGCTACATGTAGTTTTGAACCCAGTGCATGTGTTTATATAATATGTACATGTGGATTCAAACACTAAAATGCCACTTTTCCAATATACCCCGTAATCCTTCATTTTTTTCTCTGCGACTTCATCAGTGCCTGCATGAAAGAGGTTTTTTTCTCATTTCTTTTCTTTCAGATTTCTAAACATTGCGCAACATGTGCCTGTCCCTGGGGTGTCACTGGGGGTGGGGGTGGCAAATGTCCCCCACCCACCCAAAAACAAAATGATCAATTGAGAATATGCTAGAGAGAGTACAAGGATTTGGGGGGACAATTAATTTGCTTTGCCCCTGCTACAAAAAAAATCCTGGGTAGGCCCAATGAGTGGCAAATTAACACGCACCACAACCCCAGGGCGAAATAACAAGAATTATTTTATTTCATACACTTCTCTTTTTTTCGCCATAACTGATTCCCATGGTACCTCACCAGTTTTGCTCTCATACCTAAACGGAGAAGTTTTAACACTTCGTACAGTGTAGCCACGAACCATTCTTTCGTTGGCTCAGAGCAAAATTTTTATTACGCCCTGCAAAAACAAGAAAGCCATAATAAAAACATGTATTTTTAGATGACAAGCATATGTTACATAAATTCTAGTGACTCGGAAGATCCGTCAAATTCCAAATTGAAGTCTACCGACACTGTTTCTGTTTTTGAGCAGTCATAATGTGAACCAAACAAAAGTGGATCACGTCTCCCATATTAGGCAGCTTTTTTCTGCTTCTCATACTTTGACTCGATGGCTGTCTTTACAAAATATTGTCATCACAAATTTATATTCATGAGTAGAAATGAGGAAGAACAACAGTTTTAATTAATCAAAGACAAATGGACAATAATTTCACCCTCTTATTTCCAAAAAACCTCCTTCTACAGTATCAAATTTGGAGGGGGCGGTTGCATTTCCCTCCGCCATTCAGCAGCTGACGTATGTTATAAACTACTAAAATGGGACCAAAAAATAAAAGAGCAAACTTTTATAATGCCCTGCAAAGACCAAAAAGCCACAAAATGCATTATTATTTTAGAAAATATGCATATTATGCTGCTTATGCAGAAAATAAATGATTCGTACAGTCTAGCCACGAACCATTCTTTCGATAATTCAGAACATAATTTTAATTATGTCTGCGCAAAGACAAAACAGCCATAAAACGTGAATTTTTAGATGATAGGCATGTATTATATTAATTCCAAGGACTTTAGAGGCTCCGTCATTCTCTTCTTACCAGGACCTATTTTATACTGATATTCTTAGAGTACTTTTTCTAATTTTTGTTTGCCAAAACTGATTGTAATCACGCCACTATTTCCTGTCATAGGGGGCCTACTTTAATGCAGGAGAGTCCTTACAATGTGGCCACGATCCATTCTTTCGTTAGCATAGAGCAAACTTTTATTATGCCCTGCAAAGACCAAAAAGCCACAAAATGCATTATTATTTTAGAAAATAAGCATATTTTGTCGCTAATGCAGAAAATTAATGATTCGTACAGTCTAGCCCCGAACCGTTCTTTCGATAATTCAGAATATAATTTTATTACGTCTGTGCAAAGACAAAACAGCCATAAAACGTGTATTTTTAGATGACAGGCATGTGTTACATTAACTCCAAGGACTTTAGAGGCTCCGTCAATCTCCAAATTGAAGTTTGACGTTTTTATTTTCGGGTAGCCATTGTGCAGCACCAGAAATGCACTTCAAAGGTTAGATTATGTCTTCCATATTATTTGCCGAGGCAGCAACCAACTTCCAATTGAGCAAGCAGTGATCAAACTCCTTTTTTGTGCGGTAGTGTGGTTAGGGTTTGTGACTCATGATCAGAGAGTCAGGAGTTCGCATTCAGCTGCTGGCCATTTGTTGTGGACTAGGGCAGACTTCATCCACACTTGCCTCTCTCCACCCAGGAGTATAAATGGGTGCCGGCATTAGCTGGGGAGTAACCTGCGATGGACTAGCATCCCATCCAGGGGGAATAGAAATTTTCTCTGAAACCGGAGATAAATGCCGGCGCTGCCCATGGCCCAATGGGCCACACTTGCTCCTGACAGACTTTACTACTTAATAACAACTTTTTATCATCTAAAAAGTGGTGGGTAAATGCCCCCATGCCCACCCTCGAAAAAAAAGGTAAATTGAGAATATGCTGGCAAAAGTACAGGTATTTGTTTGTTTTGGTTTTTTTCTGGGGGGGGGGCGAAATGTGCATTACCCCTCTAGAAAAAATCCTGGCGACGCCCATGGCATTCGACGTGGCAGTCCCTGGCGGGTGGGTGTGTGGGTGGGTGTGTGTGTGTGTTCCATAATTATTTGAATGATAATCTTAAGTCTTTATTACCGAACGACAAAGTTTACCGTACAGAGGAGCCAGTGGATAGGCCAAGATCCATTGATCACGCTCCTTCGTTTTAGCGAGGAATGTGAATTGCCAGGACGACCGTCATGACGAGCTGTCACGAACCGTCATGACTTACCGTCCAAAACGAACGAACGCTAAGTTACAATTTGAATAGGCATGCATGGTTTATAAATTACAGAATTTGCTAAAAAAAACCAAGTGACCCGACACGTCGGCATACTCTACTCATAGCTGAAGTCAGTTGAACCCGTTTCTATTTGACCTTCTTCTTGACCTAACAAACACATCGCCGTGATGCATATTTGATTATTGCAATGTGTTGGATACGTAGAAATTGTAGTAGAAATTGTGCCCTTTTATCGGCAATCATGTGTGACACTGAAAAATAAGCTTTTGTCATAAGGGAACAACGCTCGCCTGTGTCGAAATGTAGGCCTGCACACAACCCCGGTCATGAAAACAAACACGATTTTGATTCCTATTTTATTTTTATGTATTTATTTCCAACAATACCTCCATAAAAGGAGAAGATACAAATTACTATAAATTACAGAAGTTGCTAAAAAAAAACAAGTGACCCGACACGTCGGCATACTCTACAAAAATAGATCATCGTCTTTACAATCCTATGAAAATTATAGAAAAAACTTCCCTTAAACAAAGGTCCTGTGTATCGGCAGTGGCGGCGCTACTGGGAGGGGAGGGGGAAAGTACAAACATATATGAATATATTTCAATCTAGAAAGGAACATACAACAAAAGCTCGTTTGCCCTTTAATTTCAACAATGATTCATTTTCGAATTGTATTTCCAGAGAATACAAACTGTCAAATAACATGGTGGGTGTTTTATTATTTCTAACACCCCTATTTACAAAGTTGGAGATGCCATGCGCAGCTAACGAAGGCATCTGCGCTAGCCGCGCTACCGGGCCGAACCTGGCAGACAGCAAAAGGGCACCTGACCTGGAACAGGCACCCACGGTACGACAAGGTAAGACCATGTAAAGTAATATTATTCTTATATTTGTTAACTTGATATGATATTTAGGTTTACAGACCCGAAGTCCAGAGATTGGCTTGTGTCGAGAGACTGAGATGCACATTACCCGATGAAATAACCACGCAAAATGGTGATTTAACAGGCAAATTTTCCCGACATCCATGCCCCTACCCACAGCGCGAGCATATTTTCAGGTTGATCGTTCTTTTGCTTAACCAGTAGTTGACAAAATGATGGTCAGTCATCATTTAGAGGCGAAATAATACTCCCGAAGTTTGAAATCAACTATTTGTAAAAATGTATATATTCAATAAACAGTGCTAAAAAACAATACGAACATTTTTTCATTTTCCTTTTAAGTAAGAAGGTGTGATTGTACGCGTCATTTTGCATTCAGTCTGCACATGGTTGCAAACTGACGGCTGATCATAGCAAATTGCGTCCAACAGTAGAAAGGTCCAGCATTGGAATTGGCGCTAAATCCACCTGATTGATCAAAAACATGCTGGTAACCCCTAACCACTTAAACAAATACACCTGCCCTTCAAGCAGACAGCTACTAACGGGTCTAATAAGTCAACAAGTAGGTTTTTTTTTATCATAGCTGAAGTCAGTTGAACCCGTTTCTATTTGACCTTCTTCTTGACCTAACAAACACATCGCCGTGATGCATATTTGATTCTATTGCAATGTGTTGGATACGTAGAAATTGTAGTAGAAATTGTACCCTTTTATCGGCAATCATGTGTGACACTGAAAAATAAGCTTTTGTCATAAGGGAACAACGCTCGCCTGTGTCGAAATGTAGGCCTGCACACAACCCCGGTCATGAAAACAAACACGATTTTGATTCCTATTTTATTTTTATGTATTTATTTCCAACAATACCTCCATAAAAGGAGAAGATAAAAATTACTATAAATACATATAAGTATATACATACCACCGTGTTCACAAACAGGATAACCCCGACACCGGACGACCCCCAGATAATCCAGACAACGTCAGAAATTAAAGATTGTCAAAACGACCTGAGCAGTCCACCAAGAGTGCCAAGATCATCATAATCAAGAAATTGGTTACGATACAAAACTGTCTTGACACTTTCACAAATACTATGGTTGAGACAGTCTACATTCTTAATGGTGGAAATGTATTTCCGTCTGAATGATGGACTAACAATGCAATCTAGTAGTGAGAAATCATCATGCATGCTAAAACTGCTTTTTACTCTGTCAATTAAAGTGTTCTTGTATGCAAAACTATCATTGGCTTCACAATTCAGGAGGTGAGCATAAAAATACCCTCAATAAAGGATTGACATAAACAGCTATAGAATGCTTGTCTATTTTTCAAAGGACAAGAAGGGCTACAGCAACTGATTTGATTGTGTGTTTAGGATCCCACAAAGCTCCATTCGTAATTCTATAAACATTTACTTTACTTTTTAGACTGTGGCGCAGAAACTCAGGGGCGGATCTAGCTTTCAGGAACCGGGGGGGAGGGGGGTGATTTGAAAAGGGGAGGGTGAGTGAAGGCGTGCGGAAGTTACGTCCTGCTATGGTCCGGGGGCGTGCTCCCCGGTTAATTTTGAAATCTACGATGCTTTCTCCCGTATTCTAAGGCAATTTGAAAATTTGAAGTTAGGAATTTAACGTAGAACGAACGTTCTTTCTTATATCGTAACGATTTTCTCCCTAGTTTTTGGGATTTTTTTCAGTTTAATATCTCAACCAAATAGACGGAAGATGGTGGTTCACCACGGATCCTACACACAAGGATGAACGACGAGTGATAACCCGTTTCCATGTTAATCTCGAATGTTCCAAGTGTGCCATTTGGCGTTTCTTTTGGCATGACATCTAAAACGAAAATATTCATAAACTTTAAGCCAAACCACTCCTTATGTAAGATATATTTGTTCCAAAATACTTCAGGATATAACAGATGGTACTGTGCACTTTTTGTCGTAATAGATGAAATATTTACCCGGGAAATAAACGTCAAATGTGACACCTTTTTCGAAGAGAACGCCGTTTACCCAAATCTCGTTTTTAATTAGACTTTCATCAAAAAGGTTTAGAGAGATATGGTCCCGAACCGATGCGACATTTCATAGTTTATTTTAAAGCTAAAGATATTGAGCTCGCAGTTAACATGGTTATGTAGCTATCACTTATCAGAATTCAATAGTAAAGGTCAAAAACGTAGGATATTGAATATTCAAAAATATAATTAGCTGGCTTGACAGACCTTGACACCAGATCGGGCACAGAGCCCTGCAAATTTGATAGCCACCGCGTGCAGTGAAGCGGTTAAGTTGTCTGGATCTTTGTTGAAAAGTACTCATGGTAATTGCCACCTGTACGGGCAATTATCACGCGTCTAAACAGGAATTTGGCCTAGTCGTTAATCCTTGCGTGTAGACTAGATGATCCGCGGGTTAACCATCCCCAAATCATCAAGGAAAATGAACGTCAAGGAAAATGGACGAGGAACTGCGGATTCCATTCTAAGACTGGACAAGCCGAAGCGGAGTCCATTCTTAGCACGAATCTACAGTTCCGTGACCCGTGTCTATTCTCCGACTTCAACCATTTCTTAAAAATAAAAATAGTTCATGCAAAAAAAAATCCTTGGTTTACCCGAATCTCCACGTTCGGGTCTGACTGTAAATCAAGCTCAAAATATTGAAAAAGTTCAAAAGCGTTCACTCCGCATTATCCTTCATCCGAATGTCTTGCCTTATAACGATGTTCTCAATTTCCTTAACATCCAATCTCTTTCAGGCAGACGTGTTGACCTCGCCACTCAATTTGCCCAAAACTTGCTAGCTTCTGAAAAACACCGCCACATGCTTCCCAACCCAAGACTCTCTCTCACCAAACGAAATCTCAGGAACTCTAACCACTTTATCATACCTCGTATCAATACTCAGATATATACACAATCTCCCTCTATGATTACATTAATTAATTCTCAGTAGTTGTGGTTTTTAGGTGTTCATATAATTATTTCTCCTATTTAATTTTATTTTAATTACTCAATTTTTAACTGTAACGTTAGTCAATGTTATTGTTTTGTTTGTTCAAGCTTTACTGTTTACATGTATATTATGCTTAGCAATTATTGTAAATATTAACCTTTTTAGTTGTACTGTAAACCAAATATGTTTAGTCCTTGGACTTGTTCATTGGTCACCATTTTTTAACAATACAACCAAAATGAATGAATGAATGAATGAACGAAAAAAGTATATATAGATTCGTATACACTATTCAACTTACGTGCTTGCATCTTTACAAGATGTTATTCTTAACCGATCGGATAGGTAGACAACTTTTGTTCCATTCATCCCAATGAACAGTTCACTAATTCTTTGCTAGAAATGCTGGAAAGTCGCGCACAGTTCCCATCACTGCATTAGAGTGTGTAGTGCGTACACTAATTTTGTCTAACCGTTCCCTCACATTACCAAATGGATACACTATTGTGTGTTACAGACATGGGTCTATTAAATCTATCAGAAGTGATCCTCTAGGTTTGAGGAGTTTTAGCATTAACCACTCAATTTTGGCAAGCAGCTCATTAATTTATGTCTTGAACTGGCCATCTTCTCTCCCATCAAATGAGGACCACGTTAAGGACCTTGATATTTATCACATGGTTTGCACATCGGCATACTACCATCTCAATCACCATGTGAAATAATTTCGTTTGGAAATAACATAACTTTGGAATATAATCTGAGAAGTACCGACTGGTAAGTAAAGTTTCCAGTGGTCAATGGTTTACTTTATAAATTTGATTTCCTCACGTTGGCGCAGCGGCCTTCCACTGCTGTGACCCGGGTTCGATTCCTGCCTCGGTCTACATGTGGATTGGTTTTCAGTCCCTGCCTGATTGCGTTGGTTTTCCCTGAATAGTCTTCTGAGGTTTTCCCCCTACCTTGACTGTTATTTCTTCTCACTGTCTTCTTACAGGTTTCCTCTGGTTTTCGAGCTACAGTACCGAGGGCACTTTTGAGGAATCCATTACCAGAAAGATATAAATAAATAAAAAATAAAATAAACAAGTAGTCATCCCATCTATTTAGTTATACATGGATTGGCCTTTTGTCAATGGTTGGTCATTTAGTACCTAAATAACGGAGGAAGAGTTATCATTATTTCTTTTCCCCGCTAGACGTTATGTTTAGGGTGACCCCCGGAAAAATTACAACCGTAAAATAGTTGCCTTAACCCTAAAGGGGCCGGGTTATTTTGACCATCTCTCAGCCGGGGGGGGGGGGGGCGGATTCCGCCCCCCCCCTAAGATCTCGGCCATCGAGTGACGAAAAATTTTGAAACTCAGCACATGCATAGAGCAACTCTTCCTTAACATGCCCAAGAAATTTCATGACTATAGGTCAAAGGGTTTTGGAATTATGGCTAATTAATTATTCATATGTATGAATGGCAATTCTGCTCTGTGTACACGACGTATATGCGAAAATTCATTTTTCACGGCGCATAGCGCCGGAAAATTTTTCGCTACGTGCCAACCCGTGGTCCGATTTTTATGTTTTTGGTATCAAAAGATGCGTAAAGCTCGAGGCTAAAAAGTCATAACAGCTCGGGTTGCGAAAAAAATTTTTTTAGAAGCTATCGCGGAAAATGTTGAGGGGGGGGCGGATTCCGCCCCCCCCCGGCCCTTTTAGGGTTAAACAAAAGAGATTGGTGGATTTTTATGTTTTGGGTAGCAGATTAAAACTGAGAGCTTTTTCTTCCAAATACTGAAAAAAAATCATGAAAATAGCACTTTCGGTTGCTGAGAAAATGTCAATGATGTAAACGTAGTCATTTTTCATCCAGTACACAAGTACTTCAAACAGCGAAACATTTTACTGTAAGCCTACTGTGCAATTATCTTTCATTTGTGCAATTTCTTTAGTATTTTGACATATTTGTGATGCTTAAAGGGTTTAAAATAAGACCAGAAAGGATGAGATACCTGTTCAGGTGGAAAATAAAAGGTATTTCCATCAAATTCATTTGTACTCTTGTCATATTATGTGTCATGTTGTTTGTAAGGATAAGGACATGCACAAATAGGTTCAGTGAAAATCCCTTAATGTGGTAATGTTTTGTGTACATTTTCTAAGCAACCCAAAGTGCTATTTTTATGGGTTTTTTTCAGTGTTTGAAAGCAAAAGCTCTCAGCTATAATCTGATACTAAAAGCATAAAAATCCACCAATCCCTTTTTGTTTAAAGGCAAATGTTTTAGTGTTGCATCTTTTTGAGGTCACCCATGTAGTATGCACAAATGTGTTTTTTTTTTCCCACAGGCATCTCAATGTGCTCGTCTTATTACGACGCCCAGGGCTCGTATGTCAGCGGCTTCGACTGTCCGGACTCGGAGATGTCGGACGGATCTGACCGCTTCTGTTGCTCCAATATCGACTACAGCTGGAAGTTCTGCTGCGGAGAGGCCAGACATGATGAAAACCAAAAGTACTTTTATCAGCTGCGTCCATTGCCCATGGGGTAAAATATTTTTCTCCTCGAAGGCGAGAGTCACAGACGTAACGATTTGCAGAACATTTGCCAGTTAAGATGATTGTTTGTTGAATGATTATCTACCAGTTCAAGTGAAACTTTCTGATAATTTTGGGTAACAACTAAGGGTGAGCGTGTTAATTGTGAGGGTTGGATGTCAAATCGATTCAATGCGCTTCTCTGGGTGCGTTCGATTAGCTTCCCCGTGTATACACGGTGTTTACACTCGAGCAAGCCACGAACTGAGACTTAGGCCCAACAAGTCTTCGGTTTCTGGTTTGGAGCTTGCCCCCAAAGTGGTGCGGCGACGCAGCTTGCTTTTTATTTTTTTACTTGTTTTTTTTGTCAAAATGTCAGCTGATGACTGCAAATGGTATAGTAAAGCTTATACTCGACCGTAATCCATCTAAAACACGTTAAAATTGTGCAGCAGCAGGATTCCAGTCAAACCAGTGAGTTTGGCGGTTTTGAGACATCAAAAACTTTTTAATTTTGCCAACGCGCATTGCTCATTGCGAGGCGCGCGCTAGACCAGAAACCGGAGCCTTTTTGGGGGGCGTTATCAAACGCTGCGCGGTCTATTCGCCTATATGGCCTCCGTGCGCCAGCAAGAGGGCGCTTTTTAATACCATTTTTGAGAGCCCCGTAGACGGGACACACCGACTGAGTTCGGGTGGTCCAGGCGCCGGATCCAGCAACTCTGTCAATTTTTTTTTCATAGAAATTCATTAAAAATAATGCGATCCTCCGCCCCCCCCCCCGCTCTGACACCCCCCCCCCATATACTGGTAATAATGTCAGCCTTTGCATAGACTTGATGACAAGTCGTTAGATTTTCGTATTTTGTCCCCCCCCCCCCCCCCCCCCCCCCCCCGCCTATTGATATTCGGAGGCCAAGTGTCCGGAGAAAAAAACTGTCTACATTTCCGATTCTTTTGCTGATGAACCCCCCCCCCCCCCCCGTGAAAATTCCTGGATCCACCCCTGCGGTATATTTTTCTTGCAAAACCCCGACGGATAGGATGTGTGTGATCCTGTTTCGAGTCGAACGTGTTCCCGTCGTTCGAGCGCGAGAACAATAATACCCGTGTCCAGGACAGACCGCCCGAACTCGGCCGTTCCGTGTCGTCCGCGTGTGCGGACTGGTTCACGAAATCGTCCGGTTACACACGACATTACACCCGGGCAGCCACAAGGGACCCGCTCGCGAGCTCGGGCAGTGGTGGTTGACACCGGGGCAGACACGAGGATCACGTGACTGTCCCCTTGATCCAAGACGTTATTATCTTGTGTTAGTTTACAGCGTGAGCAATGTAAGCACTTTCGCACTTTATAACAAAAATATTCCATCAACAGATTCTGACTATTACTGATGAATCTTAGGTCAGGTAGCCTTCGGTATTACATTGTATTACAATTTACGTCACGTGAATAAAACGGGAGGCATTCCTCTTTTTTTCCGAAAATGTCCGAAGTTTGCCGAATTCGTTTCGTCGACAATCGGATAGCGCCCGAGTATTTCCCGGTCAATATAGGTTTTTGTTAACTACTTATTTCTTATTAAAAACTTAAAAGAATTAGTTGGTAATTAATTTTCACTGCTTTCATTTTGAAAACTTGACATTCAAGTATACTCGGATCGCATTCGTATGAGGGGCGAGTTTTTGCTGCGTCATGAACTATTTTGATTTTGACGACAGTTACCGGGATTTTCCAAAACTCGGCGTGGTTTCCGTTCGGCTCCGCCTGCTAACAGCGCTGTTAGTTGGTATGTCTTCATTTTGGAATTTTTCCCTTGGTGTTTTTTGGGGGGAAAGTGCCCTAGTTTGTGGAATCTGGAATGCTCAGAAAAGATGGCAGGACCATTAATTGTTCTTCGGGTTTTCTTTTTCTTGTCAAATTCTGTGTGTATGATTGAAATCTATGATGCATTTTCTTGCTTGTACTTTTTAGCCAATGGGATGATGCATATGAAACAAGTACATGTAGTAAGAGTCATGAAAGAACATCTTTTATTGGACTGTTACATTTCCCCGAATAGTCAAAACTGAAAACTCTAAGCTTGTGCGATTCTTTCCTGGTGAGTCTTTAGAAACTCATTTACACAAGTGATTACATATGTGTATGTGCGACTTTGTAGTTTTAAATTTGCTTCATAGATTTTCCTTCCGAGGTGTTTTAGCTAAGCGTTTTAGTGACGAGATAAAACCGATTTGGTGTAACTTAAAAACTGTTCAGACATCGTTTTAGCAGAAAAACGACATCGAATCGAGTTCAGCTAGTGTTTTCAGCGAATTTAAAATGGTGTCTGAACGTAGCCTAATTGAATGAGAACCCATGCTTCAGTTTACAAAAAGGGAAGTTGTTTTTCACTCAGAGGTCATGGCATAGGGTCATCTAAGGACAAAAACAGACTAGAAAATTGTCAGATCTCCCTGTAGGAAGCGGGACAATGAACCTCGCTCACTCGGCTATGCCCACTGAATGGAGTCGAGTATCAGGCATCTAAACAGCACCCCTCATCCGTATCATTGGGCAAATAGCTCCCTAGCTAACTGTGAGCTGATCACAATACGTGTTGAAGCGTGCAAAAAAAAGTACACCACCAAAAAATGGATGATTGTTTACGATTTTAACAGAAGTAAACGTGAACCTGCAGGCCCGAGTAATTTTGACTCAAGCCACATGTCACATCAGTATCATGCTAACAACTGTTTGATGATGGCGACAATGCATCTGAACCAACACGCCCCCCCCCCCCCCCCACACACACACACACACCCCACCAACTCTAATTGGCAATTCCAGCATTATGTAATGTCCGTGGCAGAGGTTTTTAAGAGCTCAGTAAATGAACCTGAAAATGTATTTTTCATATCTCATGTACCTATTATATCATCTGGAAATGATCGAAGAGATAATAGACTACGAGTTTGGGATCATTTCTCTGCATCATAAATTAGATATCATGGTTAATTGGCTCTTCCTTCATTTTTCCTTCCTTCCTTACAAGTGCAGCCTTCAAATGGTTAAAGATAAACGCATTGCCAGAAACACCGGGGCAAACCCCTTCTCTTAGCGATAAGAGTTACTGGGTTCTTTTACATGCATTACACAACACACGGGACCTACGGCTTTATTTCCCATCTGAAGGATGAAGCAATAATGGTTAAGTGTCTTGCTTAAGGACACAAGTGTCAAGACCGGGACTTGAACCCACACTCTGCTGATCAGAAACACCAGAGCTTGAGTCCGGTGCTTTTTAACCGCTCGGCCATGACACTCCTCCTCATAGACATTACACTTCCTTTCACAACGCTAGAATTTCCCAGGTCATAAGCAAATTTTACAGAGAGTTACCTAATCCAGATTTACTTGGAAAACCACACGGATGTTGTTTTTTGTTTGTTTTGTTTCTACCCAACGCCCATCAGCAGTTTTGCTCCAGACGTCATCAATTGGATGCCTTGCTGAAGATTCCAGGTCAACATTAGTCAATACTTTCTTGTAGAAAATTAATATGAAACTGTATTATCATAACTGTGTGATATTTTGAAGCAAGAGATTTATTAAAAATTTGATCGGAAGCTATTAACGAAGCCGAGCTTTGAAAAAGGGCCGTCAATGTCGTCATGTATATTTTTAGCCACGGAGGCTGCCTGACTTACAATTTAGACGTGAGCGTCGGGAATAATTGTCAGGTTCCTAACGATTCAGGATACAGGAAGCAAGTTCCCATCCCAGGGCTTACTGTTGGAAACGAGGTTGAAAATAAAGTAAGCCTGGGGGACGAGATGCGGTACTACTGTATCGATACCCCATTTAGAGAAACGTAGTCCGTAACGGAATCGAATACGTTAGGGAATCGATTACAGTTAAACAAAGTCGGCGTTCGCGGACGTGTGGATAATTTTCGCGAAAAAAAACTATGCTAGGAAAAAAAAGACGAAGGACTAGGTCTTGGAACCATGCAGTCAATTGCACTCGTTTGGTTGTTGTGCTTTTATTAATTTGTTTTACAATTTCTCTTTTTTTCATAAAGCACTGCGGAATCGGTTCTTGGAAACTTGGTTATGATCGTGGGAGTGCTGATTCTCTGTCTCCTTGTCTGTGCGGCCTTGAATAAAGCATATAGAGAGCGACGTCGAAGAAAAAAGACCCCAGGTAAATCAAAGAGAAAACGTCCTTGTTATTTTGAATATCATCACATAATCCCATTCGCAGTTTCTCTTAAAGTTTAGTTTTACAACAAATACCTTTGCTACACTGTAAAAACGTTGGGTAAAATATTGGTGGCCAATGTAATTTACCCGCCATTGGTATGAAATTGCCTCATATTGGGTTGAATTGGGTAAAAACTGTCAAACTATTGGGAAGAATTTGCCCAAAAGTGTAGGCAGTTGATAATTCGACCAGCACTGGTCGAATTATCAACCCATTTTGCCCAACTTTTTTACAGTGTAAGGAGACACTTTCTGGTCATTTCTGTTTTACATCGGGGGAGAAACGTTAGACGGGATAGTGCGGGGTGATATTACAATATGGGTTTATGGGAAGGTTTTTATTTGTGCACAAGTCAATTGGAATGTCTCCCCTTCAGAGGCAAAATTGTTCTGTCGCAATCGGGTTATATTTGTTGCTCGTGGTCTAATTAGTAAACATACCGACATTCGTGGAAAAGGACAAGGGAATATTGGGTAAGGGCACATTTAAGTTGGAAAAAAGTCTAAATGTCTCCCTAATATTTTCAGTAATTATAAATATACCCGCATGCATGAAAGCGTATTCTTGGTTCAAGAAGCCCTTATCAGACTTGTAAGCGAGACCGTCGCAAGTCACCCACTTGTACCCAATCACGGTCTAGTCACAAATCGAGCCATAAACAAACTGGGGACGAACAATGACATTAAAGCTTGTTACTTGCAACACTGGATAACTTGTCTCGATGACTTACAAAAAAAAATGCTGTACCAAAAAACAAAAAACAAAAAAAACACTGTAAAATAAGATATACAGCGCGGCCTTAATTCTTAAGGGCAATGTACAGATAATATTTAGGATTAAATAAGAAATGAATGAACATAGAACAATGAACATAGAACTCGTCGGCTGCCTGGAAGAAGGTCGTAAGGGCGAGTAATGGGTCAAAAGGTCAAATTAGGGTATTTCGGTTAATTGATTTGGCTTGGAAATATCTTTCATTTGATATACATTGTATCAAGGGGCTACGTCATTGTGACGTAATTAACATTAAACAAAAGACGAAAGGAAGTTTTTCATATTTTGTGCCCGGCAAAAGGTCGTAAGCGTGTATTATTATAATGTAACAAAAACGTTCCAAGCGCCCTAAACGTCCCACTTAAATGGGTACGCAAAGCCAAGTTTGTTCCCGGCCAAAGGACGCTAGGATTTAACACGCCGCCTAAGCGCACGTTTGATGCAGGTTGAGTTCAAGTTTAAGGCAGATGGAGTTCCCGGTAAAAGATCGAATGCAGAAAAATTTAAATAACTTTAAAATTCAGTAATATTTTGAAATAAACAATGCCCAATATGATTTTAATTATTAACGACTTTCATGAGCCGAAATTTCAGCCTGCTGCGATTTTTCATTTGGAAATGGGAGCACAAAATCTTTGAACTCGTTTATCTCCAAAAGTGCTTTTTGCGCGCCTTGGCTGCTAAATATTACGTCATTTTCCTTGGCACACGATAACTTATTGTAAAACATGAGAAACAACTAGAAATGCATATAAAAACATTAAATTAAGCTGCTATCTGATAACAATCTAAACATTGGGAGGAGAAAAACCTGAAATAAAAGTACATAGTTGAATTAAGTATTAACGAAATCATTGTCTTGGATTTTCTTTTATCTTCCAGAGGTCGTTGAATATGATAACGATCCCCCTCCGACTTTCAAGCTGTTTTATAAGAAGAAACCTCCGCCAACTCGAACCCTCCCTCCTACCATCCTGTCGCAGTAGAAAACCCGGACTAATCAAGTGGCTAATTGGTCTTCCAGCTCACACGTTCCAGACACGTATCTACGTCGGGTGATAGATACATTTTTAGTCCTGTTAAAATACTGTAACGGGCGCGAAATTACTAGTTCAAGTACTAAATGACTAGAGACTAGACAAGAATTCTGACTGGGAAGATCGTGTTCTTCTTCAAATAATAATAACGATTTTATTGTCTTCCAATACTGTTGGCACACACCGTGCCCGATGCGTATACATGTAATCTAATGTCTTTGTGGATAACGATGAGGCGGAGCGCCAATTTGCATTGCAATCGAACGTTGAGTACGACGCGCTCCTTATTCTGGGTGAACTTCCTCACCCGACCAGAACCAGTCACGATCTGAACACCGAGCCCTGACTTGGCTCGTCTTTTATAGCGTTTGGGCGCGTACATAACGCAAGGAGCTAGCAATGTCTCCTGCAATGCTCTGATTGGCCATAAACCACTGCGCCAAATAATATTCTTATTCATAATAATCATAGCGTCTTTACCTATAGCCTTGTTCAATGCGGTCTCTCGGCTTTTTGTCGAAGGGAGATAATCGGGCCCTGCACGCACAATCAACGCGGCTACGTGCGTGTACGACCCTTGTCCGTACGAACGGCAAACACAACCAGCAAGCACACACACGTGAGTGCGGACTGTACGCATGGTGTAATAAGGCAGTAAATGTAGGCCTACTATGTTCTGCGTGTGGGTGTACGTACGTGCGTGTGGGGGATATACGCGCCGCGTGGCCTGTCGAACGACCGCCTTGTTGGGTCTGCAACTTCCGGGTTTAATGTCTTTCTTTACCTTTTTTTCCAGTTTTGGAAAAAAATGGGCGGGCTTCAGGATATGCGGGTATGCCGTGATTATCATGTAGGGTCGTCTTGGACCAATCACTGGAAACAACCTTCCCAATAGTATGATTAATTCATTTTTAAGCTGACCAATTGTAAGCTTCACAAGAATCATGTGACGACGCGCGGCATGCATAATGCATTAGTCATCATGGCGTCTTCCATGTCTTTTTAGCGAGAGCGAAATGTTTGTCACTTTTTCAACAATTTGACATTGATTCGAGTTTTTCGGCTCGTGTAATGAATCCATTTGAGTGGGCAACGATCGTCTAATGACAGCATTACCTGCAGAATTCGTTGGAGCCTTCAATACTGCTTCGGACAGACTGGGACTGAACGACTTTCACCCACAGCAACGGGCCGCCATTGCAACGTGTTTGTTAGCCTATCGCGGGCTGACCAATGAGAATTCAGTACGCACGCGGGGGTGGTACCTCATTACCGTAATAGGTTTTGCTGGGTCAACTCAAAACCATCAAGGCGTTGGGTTACGCGGACTAGCTCATGCATGTACAGTACTGTGTGTGCATGGCTGTTGTACGAGTACGTGTGTGTACATGTACATGTACATGTACATGTACATGTACAATGTACGTGCGTACGTGCAAGCATAGCCTCGCTGTATGGTACAAGTTACTTTCTCACTAGTAGCAGCGTACGGGCATCGATATGTGCACGCAATTATGCCTTGCCAAGTTGAGTAGGGATTTTCTTATCGGCGATTTTTTTATCGGCGAATCGATAAGCCCAACGCCTTGGTCAAGGCTACTTTACCTATAAAGCTTAGATGAATTACACTTGTACAAGTCATTTCATTTAGCAGTTATTCTACCATTAGTTTATCATAGGCCCTATTATCAGTACACAGTCAACTGTATTGGCATTAATTCTTCTCATTGAAATACAAGTTGTTAACTTTAAACTTATCTTCTTATCTTCCTTAAGTCCTATCAATTAAGTTTATGAAAGGAACCTGTATCTTATCAGAGTGAAGAATAAAGTGTGCTTACTGGAAATTAATCATGACTTGCATTTTCGTTACATTCTCCCCAACTTAAGACACAAACGCGCCCTCGCATTTAACTACGAATGAACCAAATAAAAGTTACGAAAATGCACGTGTATTCAAACTGCCTATGACTTGACTGCACCAGGCAGTCTTACAATGTTCTCAATAAAAGAATCATATTTGGTATCTTATGTCAAACTAACGGCTTAAAAAGTCCTGTCACTTTAAATTAGAATTGTCCGCCACACTGAAAGTAATTTATGCACCCCAAGATATTCCAACAGTCGTCCTCAGTAATGTCTAAAATTATTTCAATACAATAAGTAGGCTGCAACAACATACCCGCAACAATACACATTTAAAGAAAACTAGAAATGGTCCGCAACAAATATCCTCAACATTAATAAATGAAACTAGCAATAGTCCGCAACAAATATCCTCAACAATAATAAATAAAACTAGAAATAGTCCGCAACAAATATCCTCAACAATAACAAATAAAACTAGAAATAGTCCGCAACAAATATCCTCAACAATAATAAATAAAACTAGAAATAGTCCGCAACAAATATCCTCAACAATAACAAATATAACTAGAAATCGGGTCCGCAACAAATATCTTCAACAAAACGCTAACATAATCTAAATAACTTAATCTGTACATTTGGAAAAAACATTCTGATGTGTAAATCGGCAACACAGTTTTCAAACATTATCTAGTTTCCGTAGTCTGTACAACTAGCATGACGGTCATTTTTGAATCCATGTACATTAATACAGACCGTCCAGAACAATTAACTAATTTCGCACAAATATTTATCATTGCACTACATACATGTCTTCTACAAAAACGAACTGTTCTTGTGTCTACCATACTGAACAGACACAGTTTCCGTCTGACGTTACTTTTTCAACTTCAAACAAAATGGCAAAATTTCAAACCGCAGTTCTACACCAGAGCTCGAGCCGTATACACTACACTGGTACACAGGCCAAGCTATAGGGCGCCGCCATTATGTTATTCGCGCCTCGACTTTTGAGGGCGCTACACACATTATTCAAGAAACATGCGCTTCAGACGCATCGCGTCCAAAAGCGGCAGGCAACTTCTATTAATATTTAAACTCCCCAAATTTGTATTTCAAGACCCATTCTTCACTCGTATCTTACCAAATTTTCTCTAATGATCACTCGGGAACCTCTAAGGTATTTCAAGACCCATTCTTCACTGTGCTCGTTTTTGTACCAACTCGTATCTTACCAAATTTTCTCTAATGATCACTCGGGAACCTCTAAGGTATTTCAAGACCCATTCTTCACTGTGTTCGTTTTTGTACCAACTCGTATCTTACCAAATTTTCTCTAATGATCACTCGGGAACCTCTGAGGTTGGTTGACCCTGGTACCGGCTAGATAAGATAGCTCCATCGATGAACTCTATGCTGAGGGTGGCTAACCCTGGTGCGCTGGATAGCCGGGCTAGATACATGTAGCCCCATCGATGAACTCTAAAGCTGAGGTTGGCTGACCCTGGTGCGCTGGATAGCCCCATCGATGAACACTTGATGATCTTGTGCGGAATAACTCATACGGTACATGTCTTCCGCCCAGGCGAACAACGCAACATTGCAAAATTGACGCTCGCGATCTTTCGTTAACGGGACTCTACCCGTGCTCTTCAACATATTCCATTTTTTCCTAAGAATTTTCAGTTTGTATGCTTTAAAAAAATAACACTTGTCGTTCTTACTGTAATTAATATAATGACTGAACTAACTCGACGTTTTACGGATGGCTACTAAGGGTGTGTATTCGAACGTTTTGTAATTTCATTGATTGAAATGGATATGAATCGCGAAGTGCGCATATTTTGACACCGAACAAACAGACCAAAAGTTAATTCTGGCACTTTCGATTTTCATCCTTCTTGCTTTTTATTTTATTTATATCAGATTTCCAGTGGTAAAAATAAATCAGCGTAATGTATGCGTTCGTAAACAGTACCCGGATTACTGCAATATTATGTCAATAAAGTACCCGGATGACTGCAATAATAGTTGTTATTGCACAATCAAGAGCGTAGAAAGTCACAGAGCGTACTGCGCTGCGCGCGGAGCGCGCAACACTAGCAGGCCCTGGGTATCCGGTTCGCGCAGCACTAGCAGGGTATCCGGTTCGTTAGTGAAAACGTCATGCACACGCGCGCACCACTGATAACTAGTGCCCATTGGATAAACGCTCGAGTTGCTTGAACTTCCGGTTCCATTCGTGCTATGCTACACCGTGTAAAGTTCACATGGTTGATTTGAGATGACGTCACACTAACGAACCGGATACGCGCCCTGTTGTCAACAGCCACGATGGCAGCTTCGAGCGGCGCAATAATTCGACGAAATTTGAGAAAGAAATGCAGTTTCCTGAAATGTATGTCTTGCGGGTCAAGCTAGTCAGCCTGATATAAATAATAACGGCTTTTTTTCGGATGGCCTTTTTTCGTTGGATACAAGAATATATTGCACTCGCTATAACAATATTACACCCGTCTTCGACCCGTGCAATATGCTTATAGCTCGCAATATATTCTTGTATACCCGGCCCTCAAAGTTATCCAATATTTCATAATAATGTAATCTTTAAAGCGGTTTAGTTGTTGTACTGACAAATTAGAGCTGTCAGTCCTCATATTTGGGAGAATTGTGCCTTTTGATGATACAAGCATGGCATTTGGCACATAGTCAGAGTATTATAGGGCAATCGCAGATTTGTCCTTCGAAAAAATATAGGCCTAAGTAGAATAACAACCAATTGTCGAATTTTTCAAAATGGCTGCCATTGCTTGTTTTTCTACCTATATTTTTTCAAAGGACAAATCTGCGATGGCCCTATAGCAAAATATCGTTATTATATCTTTATCATGATATATTCTGAATGCCATGCTTGTATCATCAAAGTCACAAGCCCATCAACTATCCGGCCAACCTCTTCCCCCGGGCTCACTATATTTCCAACCTCGTTTCCAATAGTAAGCCCTGGATAGCCACGGTAGCTCCAGTATCACAGCTCCAGGGGTACAAATATGATAATTTATTCTTACGTCAACGGGCCAGTATGTTTATTCATGAAACAATGATATCAAACGCATTGTTATTATTTATTCAACCCGTTTCATTAAAGCATTTTTAAGAACATTCGTCGAGCTACCACACAGTAGCCTAGTGGATAGCGAGATGAGCTATTGATACAAAGATCCCTGGTTCGAATCCACGTCGTCGCTTCTCATTTTCATCGACTATTTTTCTTCTCTGAGTTTATTGCTGAGATAATATTAATTTGAGGGAAAACGAGAACATAAGTGCCTTGTAATGAGTCAAAGGAAAAACGTAAATTATCATAAGTGTTACAACTGGAGTTGTGATACTGGCGCTACAATAGGATACACGCGCACGCACCACTGATAGCTAGCGCCCATTGGCTGAACACTCAACTTCCGGTTCCACTCTCGCTATGCTACACCGTGTGAAATACGCATGGTTAAGTTGAGATGACGTCACACTTAATAAACGAACAAGATCATTGTTAGGCCAAAAACAAAAGTCTCCTGTTTCTGGTATGGAGCTTGCCCAAAAGGTGGTGCAGCGA